AAAAAAAAAAAAAAAAAAAAAAAAGCTGTATTTGGAGTTAGAATTCCTAGTTTAAGGCCCAGAGTTGCCTCTAACTGTGTAACAGGAGATCAGTCACTTAACCTTTCTAAGCGTCTGCATTGTTTTGTCTCTAAAATAAGGATGATGTTACCTGCTTCTCTAAAATCAGTTCTTCTATTCCCTCAGTGGTAGAACTGTTCTAAGTAATAAATATACCCAATCCCTTTTCACCTTATAATTTTCCAAGGCTGGGCTTTTTTCTATTCAATAAGCTTCAAGATCCTCAAGTATTTCCCTGACACAGCTAAATCACCCCACTCTGTGGAAGAGCATACTTGAAGATTTAAGCAGACTATTTGGCACTGCATATTAAAATTTTTTATATAGGATATATATTGCTTTTTTTAATTTGGGGTTTTTTTTTGCATGGCTTATATTATATTTTTTTCCTCATTTGAACAAGATAAAATAAAAAGTGAAATTCACACATTCCTAGCCTCCAAACCTTTCTCCTGGAGATGACCACTATTAACAGTGTGCTCTGTATTTTAAGAATTTATTGATGCTTATTGTATGAGTTTGGGTAGGCTAATTACTGTAAGAAATAGACAAAAATAAAAATGTGTAAACCCTAAGGTAACAAGTTTATTTCTTCTTTATGAGACAGTACTGGGTAGATGAGCAGGTGGGCAGGGTAGCCTTCCTTCATGCAGTCACTCGGGGACCCAGGCTGCTGATCCAGAGGCACTGACATCTTCAGCTCTTGTTCAAACTCACCCTGCAGGACATCTCTATTCCAACCCTCTGTGCTGCAATTGCATATAGGTTTTCTTTCTCTCGGTGTCCCCAGCTTCCTGGCAGCATATCTGGCCTCCTGCACACTTGAGCCATAATTGCTTTACTCAAAATTGTGTGATTCAAATTCACCCTCCCAGGCATTCTTGGAACTCATTCCAGTTTGGACTCCTATTTCCTCCTTCTTGTCAGAGGTTTCTGGTACTTACCTCTACACCTCCATTGCTTTTTTTGCAACAGCTATACCAGCTGCATTCACTTCTGACATCGGTCTCCATTTAGCTAAACTACTGGCAGTCCATGCCCCACTCCCCTTGTTTCAGCAGAGATTTTAATTTTCTAGATTTATTGAGATATAATTGACATATAACATTGTATAAGTTTAAGGTATACAGTGTGTTGATTTAGTATACTCATATACTGCAAAATGATTCTCACCATTGCATGAGCTAACACCTCTGTCCTGTTACATAATTACCATTTCTTTTTTGTGGTGAGACCGTTTAAGATCTCTTTTTGCAACTTTCAGTGATATAATACAGTATTTTTAGCTCTAATCACCATGCTGTACATTAGATTCTCAGAATTTGCTAATCTTATAACTGGAAGCTTGCACACTTTAACCAATATCTCCCCAGTCCCCTGCCCACACTCTCACCCCAGTCTACTGCCCAAAATCCCACCACCACTCTACTCTCTTTTTCTCTGAGTTTGGCACTTTTAGATTCCACGTGTAAATGATTTCATACAGTATTTATCTTTCTCTCAGCAGAGATATTTTAAAAGTCATTTGCGAACAAGTGTTAACCACTTACCTCAGAAGGTGGCTTCTTTTGCCTGGTGTTTTCTTGTGGTATCTCTTGTCCATCTTTCCCCTTTATTTCACTCATACATTTTCCCTGAAAAATCCATCTCCTCTTTTGTGTCTCCGTCTCTCTGCCTGTAGCCTCTCTCACCTCCTCCTTCTCTTACAGCCGCCATGTTGGTTGCCAGCCTCATTTAATCAGCTGTAACCAACAGCTGTGGTTCATTTCCCTTTCATTGTCTATCCCTAAAGTTGATTCAGCCAGGCTACACTCCTTTATTGTGACATTCTCTTGGGCTGCTCACTCAAGTTCACTTGTTCAACAATAGTCACTCATGGAGCAATTTTCCAGACTGCAAACCACACTCAGTTGTCAGACTCTTCTAACTGGTTTACGTTTGATTGACAGATGTTTGAACCGTCCTCTCCAAATGCAAAGCTCTGGCAAGGAGTTTACTGCTCACCACACAGAGCATCTCAACTCAACAGAGTCCAATAGTCTTAGAGGGGCAAGGTGGGATTGCTATGAGAGTGTGCAGTGGGGTAGCCAATGGTCCTAGTTTACCCAGGATAGAGGGAGTTTCAGGGATGCAGGGCTTTTAGTTTCAAGCCAGAGCAAAATTTAAACCATCTAGTTGAAAGTGGGTCTTTCTATGCAGGGTCTTGGTTGGATAAAGATCGTGATATGATAGTTTAGGATTAGTGGACACAACAAGGCAAAGATTTTGAAGCGAGGGTTTCTAAGAGTTTTGGGATATAAACTGTTGAAGCATTGATGGGTCTTTCAAGAAGTTCCCAAAATTAATAATAAAGTTATTTTCCTGGGCAAAAGTTATGCTAATGAAGACAAGGGACCAGGAAGGTTATGCTAATAACAGACAGTAAGCTGAGATAGGGGAAGTGGGAGATGGTTTCTGTTCTCAGAGTTAATGCCACTCTCTCTTTTCCAAGGTCTGTTTCATAGCCACTGTCCTTTGTCAAATGCAAAACCTAGTGGGGTTTTTTTGTTCGTTTGGTTTATGTTTTTAAATTTTTGCAAACATTGCATTACCTCCAACTCCAAGTCTCCAATGTCTGCTCCAGCTTTCATTCCACTCAGGAGAATAACAATAATAAAACTATCACCTATAGAGCCTTCACCATAAGCTAAGACACATGCCAAACCCCTCATAGACATTATTTGACCCTCATAAGAATCTTATGAAAGAGGCACTATTATTGTCCCTATTTTACAGATGAGGAAACTATGGCTCAAAGAGGTCAGGTAACTTGTCTAAGGTCATGTAGCCAGAAATGGCAGAGCCAAGATTTGATCTCAGGTCCATCCAACTATTCAGTAATAAAAGGGAGCAAATTACTGACATATGCTACATGTGGATGAACCTCACAAACACTGTTAAATGAAAGAAGCCAGACGCACAAGACTACATAGTTATGATTCCATTTATATGAACTGTCCACATAAGGCAAATTTAGAGGTAGGAAGGAGATCAGTGGTCCCTTGGCAAGAGGCAGGGGGTGGGAATTAATTGCAAATGTGCATATGATTATTTTTTGTCATTGACAGAAATGTTCTAAAACTGAATTGTGATGATGATTGATTTTACAATTCTGTAAGTTTACTAAACATCATCTAATTGTATCTAATCACAACGCATGAAGTTAATGGAAATTCTCATTCAGTAAAACTGTTTAAAAAATCCCAGAGGCCAGACTCTAAGTCTTCTAGTTTTTACCAGCAACCACTAGGTGCAGGTTCCTTTAGGAATCAAGCCTTAGGTGCCATTCAGAAGGGGATAGACTATAAGTCTTACTAAGTTTTCCTACCCTCTTCACATAAGCCTAGGGAGGACCTTTAAACTCTTTTAACCAATCTACACATGTTGAATACATTTAATTCTACCAATGAGAGCCTATTTCTAAACAGGCACTAATTTCATTAATGCTAACTGGGCATTTTGATTAGCATGTATATAAACCTAAGTAGATAAGTTATAGACATATATGATATTATCACATGTGCTCAAGAGCTTTCAATTACTGATATAGAAAAATAAACCCAAGTGAACTCTTTTTTTTTTTTTTTTTTTTTCCTTACGTTATGCGGGCCTCTCACTGTTGTGGCCTCTCCCATTTGCGGAGCACAGGCTCCGGACGCGCAGGCTCAGCGGCCATGGCTCACGGGCCCAGCCGCTCCGCGGCATGTGGGATCTTCCCGAAACGGGGCACGAACCCGCGTCTCCTGCATCGGCAGGCGGACTCTCAAGCACTGCGCCACCAGGGAAGCCCCCAAGTGAACTCTTAATACTCACTACCTCTACTGCCTCTGAAATAGCAATTGACAGAGAAGCCTCACTGACCTTATTCCCTTGCTGTAATCCATTATATAATCCACTCAGACCCCCACTCCAGGGCCAGGTTACTTGCTGTTGTTAATAAAGATATCTTCCCTTAACAAACCATTGGAGAGATTTTTCTTTTCTATTCCAATCTAAAAGGAAAAAAGGCTCTGAGACTGTAGACAAGAGAAAGGTCACCCCAAAATTTAAATGGATTGAAACTAAGCCAGTGATGAGAGCTGAACAGCCACTGTGTCCCTGAAAGGAGCCAAAAAGTAGCTTGTTGTGGATGGGACTGGCTCCTGGGAGAAGAATTTCCTGGGGCACCATGTAAATGTGTATTCGTCTCAGGAACATTTGTTAAACCTGATTTATGTTGTTTTATCTTTCATAAGAACAGAAAGGGATATATTACAGTGAATATGTTTCCTGTACTTTTACAGAGAGATTCGGAATACCAGAAGCTTAACTTACATAGACCGTGGCGCCCTGAAAGAGCTCCCCCTTCTAAAGTTCCTGTAAGTATTAACTCCTGTGCCTTCCTACCTTTTTTTTTTTTTTAAGAGAATTATAATGTAGGAATATCCCTAGGATGATGTGGGCCATTTTAGTGGTGTGTGGCCTGGAGCAAATCACATCCTGTGACTTACTCCTCACCTTTTCCCACAAGGCAAGGTAACAGGTGAAATGATCCACATTTTAAAAACCTATTCAAAAGTCAACACATAATGCTGGGACAAGATACCTGCCCCAAGAGACATGAGGGAGAAAATGCCATCATGTATATATGGTCTTTAAATGAATATAACAAAACAAAACAAAAACCTCTGAAAGCCCACTGGTCAATTTTGTTAGGAAATGGGTATCACAATATTAGAGTGACTGTTACACAAAAACAAACAGAAAACTAAAAAGGGTAAAACCTCATCTCTTAGAGCTAGGGGGACAAAAATGGAAGGGACAGCACTTACTGCTTTATTTGGTGGCACCTTGTGAGCTAACTGTAACCTCAATGAGAGCAGGGACCACAACATTTTTGTTCTCTGTTGTATCTTTACTGCTTAGCGCCTACTGCCTAGGTACTCAAGGAAGTGTGTTCAGTGGATGTGTGTGTATGGCCTCAGGTCTTCTGGGTACCTTCCTTTCTTCCCTTCTTTCTTGCTTACATGCATTGTAAAAAATTAGAACACAAAAACATTATGAAGAAAAAAAAGCCAACCTTAATCCCAATACTCAGAAATAATCACTATTAATATATTAGTTCATTTCCATCTAGGGATTTTAAATAAAAGTATATATCCAAATGTATTTTATGAAATTAGTCTTTAAGGATGAATAGAGTTTATCCAGGAAAAGGAGGGGGAGGGGTAGAAGAGAAATACAAGTGGATGGGATAGCATGATAAAGATGCAAAGGTGTGGAACCACATGCCTTGTTTGGGGAATGAAAAATAGTTCGGTACTGAAGAGGTAGGGGTGGGAGATGCCAGGAGAACAGAAGAGGATATGGATGGGAAATGTGGCTGAAAGGATATCTGGGGAGTAATAAAAACTTATAGCACAAGGCAATTGCTCCTGTGTGGACTTTGAGTTCCAATCCATCAGTAACTCTTTGATATGATGGTCCCCTGCTATGTGCAGGGCTCAGTGGGGAACATGTAGGATAAAAAAAACATTGTCCTTGCCTTCAAGAAGCTTACAATCTAGTTAAAGAAGATATTATATATGGGATTGAAAAGTTCCTCTCCTAGGAGAATGGTAAGTGACAAATAAGAGGTACATACATTATCTGGGGGTGCAGGTAATTAGAGGAGACATCCAGGAGATGGACTTGTTCGGGGTTTTGAAGAATAGACAGGTCTTGGTCCAAGTCCCTAATATGGCATTTCCAGCCCTTTTTGATATGGTCCCCACTTAACTCTGGGTCTCCCCACCCCACTCTTCCACATGAACAGCTGTTGCAATTGAACTACTTTTTTTACTGTTCTTCAAATATACCTCATGGAATCTTACATCTCTCCTTTGTTATTTAGAACGTCCCATTTGCTTTTTTGAGACCTCAGGCTCTGCTTCCTCTTCAAGTCATATGTCTTCCCCTCTAGAAGGAGTCAGGTCAGAATTTGCCTTAGATGGTACAGCAATGGGACTAGAATTTTCTCTACTGGAAGACTTTCTTTAAAGATTTACTGGTAGTTACAAGTTCTCACCACGTCATACCGAAGCTCTCAAAAAAATCACTAAATCCACTACCTATGTTCTAGTAGCTGCAAGAAATGTTAAACCAACTAAGTCTGAGAGGCATCCAGAGTTTGAGAGTTTTTGTATTCATGCTGTCAATGCACGTTTTAATCTTGACATTTTGCCCTGATGACACAGCTTTGGAGAGTGAAGATATTGTCTTTGACTGATTTCCTCCCTTATCTGGACATATTTTTATGGTACTGCTGCCATGATATTCTCAAGTGACTGCCATGGGAATGCCATTCTTGGTAAAATAATGAACACAATATAATGTAGAGTTTGAAAGAAGAAGCCTGGCTTGGAGTTGGGTACTTATATTGTCTTCCTGTCCCATCCTCTCCTTATTCTACCCTCCCTTCCCCCAACACACGCATAATGTCCTCCAGTTAAAACAAGGAAATCACACACACACACACACACACACACACACACACACACACACACGAAAAGAAACCTGAATTCCTATTTCTAGGAATCCCACTTGGTTCAAACAATCCCCAGATTCTTCTAAACAGAAAAGATGTATTGACACTGGTGGACTGGGTTAGATTCTTGATTCTTCAGGGAGCATCATTTCATCCAAGGATTAGAACTTGCCATGGTGTCTCAGATAATTAATGAAGGACTTAGGAGTTGATCCTTGTCTGACTTCAGAGCACATACTTTTAGCTATTAAATTATTCTACTTCTTATGTGTTGATTTTCTTACCTTATTTCTGTTCTCTTGTTCTTCTTTTTCATGTACTTTAGTGGCATTTTCAACACTGGACTTAGAGTATTCCCAGACCTGACCAAAGTTTATTCCACTGATGTATTCTTCATACTGTAAGTGTGCACATATGCAATATTTGGCAATATTTTACTTGCCACTGACAAGAACTAGGCTGCAGCCAGAGGGGTTGGTTGAAACCAAGTGAAGCAGTTGTTTCACGGAGGAAGCAGTGATCAGCTGTGACAAATGCACTGATGGATGAAGTAAGCCAAGGACTGAGAAATGGCCATTGGGTTTAGTAATACGGGGCATCGGTGATTCTGAAGAGAACGCTTCCAGTGGTGTTCTGGGGGTGGAGAAGTCTGGTTGGAGTGGGCTCAGGAAAGAACCAGAAGGGGGAATTAGAGAGAGTGACCATAACAAACTCTTTAGGGAAGTTTTACTACAAAAAAGAAGCAGAAAAATGCCTCAGTATTTGGAGCATATTGAATACGGAAAAAAGCGTTTTTTGTTTTTTTTGTTTTTAATGGGAGATACTATGGCATATTTGTTTGCTGCTGGGATTGTTTGAATAGAAGGAATTTGATGATAATGATGATACTTTATTTTTCACATAGTTTTTCATAGCTTTTCACTCTCCCACGTGTTATCATATTTGCTCCTCTCAACCACCTTACGAGACATAAAAGGAAGTTACAATTTTTCCACTAAACAAATGAGGAAACTGAGGAATAGAAAACCTAAGGGGTTTTGTCTGAGGAGAGTCCCAAGGAGCAGCTGTGAGTGGTGCTCAAACTTCCTGTGACTTCTGATGGGGCCATGGTGCTCTTTTCCAAAACGTATGACACAGTTAAGTATCTTACTAGTTGTTTAGAAGTGAAAGGACACATGCAGAGAGAATTACAGACTGAGTTTGAACTACAGAATCAGCAAAATGTAGAATGATAGGATCCAAACTCGGGATTTTGTTAGAAAAAATGCCCATGCTTCTTTGCTGCAGAAGAGCTCAGTTCAAAATACAGGCCGTCTTCCAGCAACTAGACTGGCAATAGAAATGTTCTCTAGGAGTATATGTCTTGCAAGTGGAGGGCACTTCAGTAATACTCATGAAATGAAATCAATTGATCCCATTCTAGCAACCCTTTTTAGGGGTACCACACACTGAGAAAACGAGTTGCTCTGGACAAAGTATTAGTCAGAGATTCATGAGAAATCTCTGAGACCCACCTGCTCCCCTTGCACATGAGGATTGTCAAGAACCTCAGCCCAAATCCCAAAGCTCACTGGCTCACTGCACATGTGGCTCTGAGTATATGTCCACCTAGGACAGCTCTCACCACCTCACCGGACCTCTGAGCCGCCAACAGCTAAGAAGTGTCAATGACACCTAAAAAGAAATAAGATAAAACTGAATTGTGTCAGGTTATTTATTTAAGGGCATATATGCAGCAAGAGCCCAGCTCCAGAAGGAAAGCATTTTTTTTTTAATTTATTTTTGGCTGCATTGGTTCTTTGTTGCTGCACACGGGCTCTCTAGTTGCGGCAAGCGGGGGCTACTCTTCATTGCGGTGCGTGGGCTTCTCATTGCGGTGGCTTCTCTTGTTGCAGAGCACGGGCTCTAGGCATGTGGGCTTCAGTAGTTGTGGCTCATGGGCTCTAGAGCGCAGGCTCAGCAGTTGTGGCACACGGGCTTACTTGCTCCGCGATATATGGGATCTTCCCGGACCAGGGCTTGAACCCGTGTCCCCTGCAATGGCAGGCGGATTCTTAACCACTGAGCCACCAGGGAAGCCCAGAAAGCATTTTTTTACCAGGTGTTTTTGTTCCTCTCCTGCAGTGAAATTACAGACAACCCCTACATGACTTCGATCCCTGCGAATGCTTTCCAGGGCCTGTGCAATGAAACCTTGACACTGTGAGTATTGCCAGTTCCACTCCTGCCAACAATGAAATATTTATTTGGGTCACTGTACTATTTCCACAGGCCATCCAAGAACCGTACTACCATATAGTATGTGCCCTATGGTCTACCGAGGGTTTCACATAGTTAAATAAGAGTAGTGACTCATGGTGTGGTGCTCTATAGGTGACGAAGTGGTTTAGGTAACAAGACGAGAGTATTCCGTTACAGAAGTGGTCAGCGCACTTTATCTGTAAAGGACCATTCAGATTTTACAGACCACATGGCCTTTGTGGCAACTGTTCAACTCTGCTATTTCAGGGCAAAAGCAGCCATCCACAATATATAAACTAATGAGCATAGCTATGTTCCAACAAAATTTTATTTACAAAAACAGCCAGTGGGCCAGATTTGGCCTGCAGGCCTTATAATAGTCTGGGTTCTAGTATCCCCATTGAATAGAGGAAGAACCTGGGGTTAAAGCAAATTTAAGTGACTTTCCCAAGGTCACTGAGCTAGAAAATGGTGATGCTAAGGGCTTTTCATACTCTGCACTCATACTTCAACTGTGTCATCACAAACTGTTATTAAGTTCCTATGAAGGGATATTGAATAGAAAACATAGTTCTGCTCTCCATCATCACTTTTCCAGAGTTTGAATGGGCTCTGCTCTTTAGTTGTTCAAAAATATGCTAGATCAGGGAAATTCACAAACTGTTCTAATGAAGGAGATCTAATAGAGGTACAAAAGATAAGTTAATTCTCCAAGCCGGTAAAAATTCCCCTCCCTCATCAAATTAGCTACAAAGTAGAGGTGGGACTACGTCCAAAGGATCCCGTCTCTCTAGTTTCAGTACCACTGCCCAGGTTCAGGCCTGGTGGGGGTTTTGCCCAGATTGTCACCCAGCTCCCTTTCTCCAGTCACACCACAGTCCAAGGGTTCTTCATCGTATGCAAACCTGATTGAATTATGCCCCAGCAAAATTGATCCAAGCCTCCACACGACTCTTTGAAGAGGCAGTTTCCAAGCATTCCAAGTCAAGCAGTCTTGACCCTGTGAAGCTATCTCAACCTCTGGGACTCTATCCACAGTAGAGCATTTCAATTCATCCTTCTCGATAAATGGCGAGAGCTCTCTTGATAAGAGAAGAGACTCCTCAGCCACCATTTCATTTGACAGCACAGCAAAGACTGGGGTTTAGCCTGCTCAGTCCCCAAACCTCAAGGCCATTTACCTCTTCTGTAAAGCCTTCCATTGTGCCCACTCATTGTATATAAACACCAGTCTCAATTTCTTTGCAGAATGTTACCTCCACCTTTTGACATCTTTTTCTAAGGACCCATATCCCAAGCAGCCCTCTCAAGTGAAAGCTGCTGTTTGTCTCACACCCAGCATGGGGCCCAGTAGGCATTTGATAAACCTCTGAATGAGGGAATCTTAACTTTCCTGAAATCTAGAGGTGGGGATGGCATAGCTTGTCCATTATCTTTTCAGATGATTATTTCTACATACCTGCAAAAGTCCTGGCTTCTTTAAAGCTCATGCTCAAAAAACTATAAACGTGAAAGTGTATGTGTCCAACAGCAAACTTTGTACCCATATTCCTGGTAGGATAGAATTTCAATCAAAGTTTGCAACCCTTTGTTCTTTCTTTCCTTACTATGTTTTTCTTTCTTCACTATTTTCCCTTTTTGAGACCTACTTGTCCAATAAGAGTTTTATTTAATCTTTGTAATGTAATTCCAACAAAGAACATTTTTATTGTCCAGGCCTCTCAGCAAAGTTTGGGAAAATAGAAATGCCAAATGTACAATTCTCACATCTTCATTAATGAACTCTAGTTCAGAAAAAATTAACTTACCTATAGAGCTTTCTCAGCCTCTGTGCTTAGCATCCCAGTGCATTGCAGTCCTCCCCCAGGACACCTTAGTAGCAGGAAATAAACTCATTGTGTAATTATTTTAAACAAAATAAAAAACAAACAAGGATTGCCTCTTAGTTCTTCACAGCTACATAAGATAAATCCAAGTTTGCAAGGTATTCGTTTTAACATGGTTGTCTCATAAGTGTCCACACCTTACTTATTAAATGTATAGCTGTTTTATCCTCCCAGTAACCTTTTGATTAGGTATTATTTTATCATATTTTTACAGACAAGGAAAACTGCGGATAACTGAGGTTGAGAAGTTCTCAGGGTCACCTACTATGAAGTGACAGAGCCAGGTCTAATTCCAAGTTTGGAGTCTCCTGTGTGCTTCTTAACTGTGTTACTAGAGCTCACAGGAGGCACTGCAGTAGTTTTCAGAGTTCCCCTACAATCGCCACTCACTGTGCCTGACTGTGGACATGGCAGCCTTCTCTTATCTCATGACAGTAGCCCCCAGGAACCCCCATGCACCCCTGTGTAGACCAGAGTTCCCATGGCTGGAGCTCCTTTTCCAGCAGAAAGGATGTGTCCTTTTGGTGGGTGGGAAGAATTGCTTTTGAGTTCAGAAATCCTGATTCCCGACAGCTGTGCATCAGTGTGGCTTTGGCAAATCACCTCCATATCTCAATAACCTGACTAGGAAATAGAGGAGATAATGCTTCAGTCCAGCCCTTGGAATCATTGTATGAATTAATTAGTTGCAGAAACATAGCAACAAGTTAAAACATTAAAACTTCCCCAAAAGGCCATGGTCTATCTATTTTCTTAGATTTGTTTTTGAAGTTCAATTTAATTCAGTCCTCAACCATTTAATTAAGCATTTAATGTATGATACACCCTGAGGATTAAAAATATGACTATAAATGTGAAATAACATTTTAAAGAGAAAAATATAAAACCTATGCATTCAGATGAATAATGTCTTTTAAAGTGCTCATCTTGAGAAACTGCACTTACTCCTCCATTATTGACATTGGGTTAACTATTTCCTGAAACCCCAGTTTTTTGAGTATATGTAGAACATTTTTTAAAAAATCCTTAATGATTGCAAATCTTTGCTCATTAAAGTGAATCTGCTTCTGGGAAACAGCTTAGGAGCTAAGACTGGAGAATGGGGATTCAAACTGAAAAACACTATTCCATGTCCCAAATAAGACGTACTGTAAAGTTTTCTTGTAGGGCCTAAGAACCTTCATGCACATCTCTGGCACTGAAGAAGTGAAGCACAACCCTCAGAGAAGGGCCAGCACTACCTCGTATAGGTCACTGATTTCTCCTCTCTCTGTTGATTATAGGAAACTATACAACAATGGCTTTACTTCAATCCAAGGACATGCTTTCAATGGGACAAAGCTGGATGCTGTGTAAGTCAAGGGTTGCCATGGAAACCACTATCCTGCCTTACACTCCCTCCCCGAAGAAGGGCCATTCAATGGGTCAGAATTCTGCTAGAGATAGGTTCCACCAGAGCATTCCTCAACCCCAGAGTTAGCATGACCAAGACTTGGGGATAACGTTAAGGAACTTGACAAGAGCCAGCTTTAGTGGACACACATTAACTCCAATTCTAAATCCTAAAGCTTTTATCCTTAATAAAATGGAGAACGATGGTGTCACCTTCTATTATCTTGTACGAGTGTGTGTGTGTGTGTGTGTGTGTGTGTGTGTGTGTGGTGTGTGTGTGTAAATGTTCATCTATCATGTACATGAAGTAAAGGGGTGTCTTTAATTAAGTCCAAAGCTATTCAGAAGGTAAGGCTTTTCTTTTCGTTTTATCTGACATATTTTCAGGAAAGGTGTCAGTTTATATTTGATTCAGTTAGAAATAGCTGAAAAGCCATAACCAGATTTTGCCTTCTCTGCAAATAAATAATGCCTAGAACAGGATATTGGCAAAAAGATAGTGATTAACATGGGTCTCTGTCTTTGTAGTACATTTCTATCAGATCTCTGTGGTCCCCAGTGTCCATGCCAGAGCATACTTTGTGTCTAAGAGCTGCTAGACTGGTTCAGCCATACTGGTGTGTGATTTAACCTAATAGCTAATAAATGACAAAGAGTTTTAGTAGAGTCTGCTTTCCACAGTATGGTGAACTAGATAATTTGTTTCCACTAAGAAAGAACTAGATGATATATTTTGAAAAACTATATTTTATATCATACCCCCAAGAGAGGAAAATGAAACAACTAACAAACCAGTAGCTGAAACCAAAATGGTGGGTGCTTACAGAGGGTGCAGTTCCCTTGGGGGCAGCTGCCAACATCAGTGGTGCCAGGAGACTAGGCTCTAGTCAGTGAGAAGGTGGAGAAGTGATGTAAACCTGAGACTGATGGATTAAGCCAGGGAACCTGGATGAGAGCTGGAGTGGGACCACACTAGTAGAACCTCTGGACTCCTGGCAGAAATAAATGCAAACCTCTGCAGAGGAAAGAACCCCATGCAGGCCCAGATTTTTATAATCAATCAAATACGTACTTACAGTCAAAAATCACACATAGGAAAGGAAGAAAGTACCATGTGTAAGAGTCAGCTGAAGCAACAAACGATAGATTCTTGTGTTTAATTTGTTTTATGACAGTTTGAGTATTTTTAAACAATTATATTTTTTCCATTCCAGAAGTTCTATTTGCTTCTTTAAAAGTTTGCCTGCTCATTTTTGTAATTCCATCTTTTTTTTTTTCCCTTTAAACATTTCATACATAGTTGTTTTATATTCTGGAAACGATCACTGCAAAATCTTAAGTCCTGTGGTTCTAGACCTGTTGTGCTCTACGGTGCTTCTCAAACTTTACTGAGCATATAAACGATCTGGGGGGTCTTGTTAAAATGCAGAATCTGATTAAGTAGATCTGGGGTGAGCCCCAGGATTCTGCATTTCTAACAGGCTCCCAGGTGATACTGAGGTTGCTGGTCCACTGACCAACTTGTGCAGGGTGAGTTAAGTTACCTGCACAACATAGGTTAATAAGTTCAAAGTCATTATACCTTGGCGTGGCTTCCTAAGTTCTGTTTGAAGTGGGGTCTCTTTACCAGGCTTTTGGGTTTCTTAGTAGTCTTTGTTAAGTGAAGATCAGAGTACCTATATCTAGATTGCCTAGTTGTAGGCTCATCTGGGTTGATATTAGTCATTTGTTTAAATACATAATTATAGGGGAAGTCTGAAAAGACTCAACAGAGTAACATGAATACTTATGCATCAAATTTATTTACAGTATTGGAGAGACCCTACTTCCATCTTAACTTTATCATTCAAATCTCACACAATCCTACATTTAATTTTCTTTTCTTTTTTTAGTGTGCAGGATGTTCATTGAGGAGTACTCCTGGAATCTACAGATATGGAAGGGAGGGTATAAAAGCAAAGCAAGACGGGGTAGCAGGAAAAGTTGGCTGACCTGACAGAGAACTCTGGAGCTAAATATGGCCTAGAGTTTTCCTGTTTCGCTAAAATGGCCAGACAGCTATATTCCCATCTTCTTTGGTCGTTAGATTTAAGCTACCCTAACATAGGTGTCCTTAGGTGAGACCATTCTCTGCAGCTGAGGCAATCCCAGGAACTGATAGCTAAAGCTTGTCTCCTGACAGTAGGCCCAGCAGCTGGATAGACAATTCCTTCCTAGATGGAGGACCCAGGTGTATGAGCTCCAGGCCCATCACTGTCATAACTTGAACCTCTTGGATTCAACTTATTTATTTATTTATTAACGTTTTCATTGGAGTATAATTGCTTTAAATGGTGTGTTAGCTTCTGCCTTATAACAAAGGGAATCAGTCATACATACACATATATCCCCATATCTCCTCCCTCTTGCATCTCCCTCCCTCCCACGATCCCTATCCCACCCCTCCAGCTGGTCACAAAGCACCGAGCTGATCTCCCTGTGCTATCCGGCTGCTTCCCACCAGCCACCCACTTCACAACTGGTAGTGTACATATGTCCATATATACACTACCACTTTCACTTTGTCCCAGCTTACCGTTCCCCCTCCCCATGTCCTCAAGTCCATTCTCTAGTAGGTCTGCGTCTTTATTCCCATCTTACCCCTAGGTTCTTCATGACTTTTTTTTTTTTAGATTGCATATATATGTGTTAGCATACAGTATTTGTTTTTCTCTTTCTGACTTACTTCACTCTGTATGACAGACTCTAGGTCCATCCACCTCACTAGAAATAACTCAATTTCATTTCTTTTTATGGCTGAGTAATATTCCATTGTATATATGTGCCACATCTTTATCCATTCATCTGTCGATGAACACTTAGGTTGCTTCCATCTCCTGGCTATTGTAAATAGAGCTGCAATGAACATTTTGGTACATGACTCTTTTTGAATTATGGTTTTCTCAGGGTATACGCATAGTAGTAGGATCACTGGGTCTTATGGTAGATCTATTTTTAGTTTTTTAAGGAACCTCCATACTGTTCTCCATAGTGGCTATATCAATTTACATTCCCACCAGCAGTGTATGAGGGTTCCCTTTTCTCCACACCCTCTCCAGCATTTATTGTTTGTAGATTTTTTGATGATGGCCATTCTGACTGGTGTGAGATGATATCGCATTGTAGTTTTGATTTGCATTTCTCTAATGATTAATGATGTTGAGCATTCTTACATGTGTCTGTGGGCAATCTGTATATCTTCTTTGGAGAAATGTCTGTTTAGGTCCTCTGCCCATTTTTGGATTGGGTTGTTTGTGTTTTGGATATTGAGCTGCATGAGCTGCTTGTAAATTTTGGAGATTAATCCTTTGTCAGTTGCTTTGTTTGCAAATACTTTCTCCCATTCTGAGGGCCTTCTTTTGGTCTTGTTTATGGTTTCCTTTGCTGTGCAAAAGCTTTGAAGTTTCATTAGGTCCCATTTGTTTATTTTTGTTTTTATCTCCATTACTCTAGGAGATGGGTCAAGAAGGATCTTGCTGTGATTTATGTCATAGAGTGTTCTGCCTATGTTTTCCTCTAAGAGTTTGATAGTTTCTGGCCTTACATTTAGGTCTTTAATCCATTTTGAGCTTATTTTTGTGTATGGTGTTAGGGAGTGATCTAATCTCATACTTTTACATGTACCTATCCAATTTTCCCAGCACCACTTATTGAAGAGGCTGTCCTTTCTCCACTGTATATTCCTGCCACCTTTATCAAAGATAAGGTGACCATATGTGCATGGGTTTATCTCTGGGCTTTCTATCCTATTCCATTGATCTATCTTTCTGTTTTTGTGCCAGTACCATACTGTCTTGATTACTGTAGCTTTGTAGTATAGTCTGAAGTCAGGCAGCCTGATTCCTCCAGCTCCATTTTTTGTTCTCAAGATTGCTTTGGCTATTCGGGGTCTTTTGTGTTTCCATACAAATTGTGAAATTTTTTGTTCTAGTTCTGTGAAAAATGCCAGTGGTAGTTTGATAGGGATTGCATTGAATCTATAGATTGCTTTGGGTAGTAGAGTCATTTTCACAATGTTGATTCTTCCAATCCAAGAACATGGTATATCTCTCCATCTGTTTGTATCATCTTTAATTTCTTTCATCACAGTGTCTTAATTTTCTGCATACAGGTCTTTTGTCTCCTTAGGTAGGTTTATTCCTAGGTATTTTATTCTTTTTGTTGCAGTGGTTAATAGGAGTGTTTTCTTAATTTCACATTCAGATTTTTCATCATTACTGTATAGGAATGCCAGAGATTTCTGTGCATTAATTTTGTATCCTGCTACTTTACCAAATTCATTGATTAGCTCTAGTAGTTTTCTGGTAGCATCTTTAGGATTCTCTATGTAGAGTATCATGTCATCTGCAAAGAGTGACAGCTTTACTTCTTCTTTTCCGATTTGGATTCCTTTTATTTCCTTTTCTTCTCTGATTGCTTGGCTAAAACTTCCAAAACTATGTTGAATAAGAGTGGTGAGAGTGGGCAACCTTGTCTTCTTCCTGATCTTAGTGGAAATGCTTTCAGTTTTTCACCATTGAGGATGATGTTGGCTGTGGGTTTGTCATATATGGCCTTTATGATGTTGAGGAAAGTTCCCTCTATGCCTACTTTCCGGAGGGTTTTAACATAAATGAGTGTTGAATTTTGTCAAAAGCTTTCTCTGCATCTGTTGAGATGATCATATGGTTTTTCTCCTTCAATTTGTTAATATGGTTTATCACATTGATTGATTTGCGTATATTGAAGAATCCTTGCATTCCTGGAATAAACCCCACTTGATCATGGTGTATGATCCTTTCAATGTGCTGTTGGATTCTGTTTGCTGGTATTTTGTTGAGGATTTTTGCATCTATGATCATCAGTGATAGTGGCCTATAGTTTTCTTTCCTTGTGACATCATTGTCTGGTTTTGGTATCAGGGTGATGCTGGCCTCGTTTA